GGTGACAAACCACTTCTCCCCACCTTTGAGCAGGGTGAGTGTTTTCAGCAATTCTGCCCCTGCTCTCTTCCCCTGCCCTGACTTTGAGAGACAACATAACCGTACCAAGCTTGGTGGGGATCCTAGCCCCTAGAACACAACTCCCAGCTTTAGCCTAATGAAACTACTAATGACAAGACGGTGCTTAGGAACTATCTACCTTTTGTGAAAACCCAAGGCTCTCACAGAGAGTCGTTTTAGTGAAAGAATAAGTTGTTCTAATGCACCGACATTTATAGGCCCAAGGATGTAACTGAAGACAGGCATTTCCAATGGTTTGGGGTATTTTTCTACCTCAAATAGCATCTACATTATCCTATGGACTCCTTACTTCTGGAACAATCTATACATTGTGTTTCAGATATATGTGAAGAATCAGCATAAAGCACAGCTCTCATTTCTGTGAAGCCGCTAATCTATCCTTATTTTGGAAGACAGGAAAATGCACTGTCATTAAAAGTAAATCCACTGTTCTTTATGCTTTGGCAAAGCTAGACTGACTGTTGTCAGACTGGAAATAAAATCACTGAGATAGTATCAACAATAACTGCAAAGTGCCGATCCCTCTTGGCTAGTATAAAGTTGACACACAGTAATACTCTTTGAACGCCAAAATTAGTATTAATTTAGACTTGTCACAAAATTAACTCTATGTACTTACTCTACAGACCATAAGTGATGACAGAGGCCTATACTGAAACTAATCCCAGAGAAGTCAGCCATCTAACAACAAGGCAACAAGAAAGCTCAAAAAGGAAGCATCAGCTAAATCTCTCCAAATCCGGAGCAAATGTTTTCATTTGTCAAACCTATTATTTTAGAATTATAAGAAAAGACAGTGCAGCCGGGCGGTGGTGGCACACGCCTTTAATCCCAGCACTCGGGAAGCAGAGGCAGGCGGATCTCTGTGAGTTCGAGGCCAGCCTGGTCTCCAAAGCGAGTTCCAAGAAAGGCACAAAGTTACACAGAGAAACCCTGTCTTGAAAAACCAAAAAAAAAACAAAAAAAAAAAAAAAAAAAGAAAAAGAAAAGACAGTGCAAAGACCTCTTGCATAGCCTTTATGAATTCCTCTTATCAGTATAGAACATTCCTCATCAATACATCTGATGGAACCCTAAAGAAGGCCTCTAGACTCACCTGCCCTACCACCAGCCAGCCAGGCAGCTAGGCAGTACCCTCCCACCGTCCTCTCTGCTGGCAGCACTCAGAGGCAATGGTTGCCTAAGTTGTTATTCAGGAACTTGGAGCCAGGTTTGTCTGCCTCAAGTGGGCCCCACCAGTGTGACGTATTTGACGTTTTTAGATCACACTAATGGTGTGATTGTCCTCATCACGAGTCCCGTGAAGAGGATGACTATGCATGGAGTGGACCCTATTTTCAGTTACTGTTTCCCTACACTTCAGGCCACCCTGTCTCTTTACTAAAACCTCTAATCCTATCCCCGGGCAGGGGTATCTGTGACTCAGGGCTCCAGTCCCTTAGGAATAAACTCTTTCACAAAACTTGGTTCAGTTGACTGTCACATTAACGAGCCATTACTGCTGTATAACTCTTTACAAAATCCGTACTTTATCCAGACTTCATTCTCTTTCACCTGCTCTCTCTACAATCTCATCCAGGAAGTGTCATTTCATTTAAGCATCGCATCTCTTCCTGACTATAGCATTCTCTCACACTCTTTTGTTTTTTTCAATGTCCTCATTGATTTTCGAGATTACTGGTGAGAGGTTCTTACAATACGTTGGAAGAACTGGGAACTGTCCCGTGTTTTTCCTGCAGCAAGACTGTGATTATGGATTTGGGTAAAGTGTTGTTCTCACATGAAGGACACACTGAACACATGACTTATGACTGAGACAATGTTTACCAGGCTTCAACAAAACCAACTCCCTCCTCTACCCCAGATCCTTTTTGAATTATTTAGGGAAAAGTTGCTATGCAACCCACAGTTATGAAATTCTCCTGAGTTATTTGGAGAGATTTTCCTTTCTCCCTTCTGTTTCCTCATTTGAGCATGTGTTCATTCACTTGGAGTTACAACTCAGTATCCCTTTATTCATTCATTTTGTAGCTGAGATTATTCCCACTTTGGTCAGTGGGGACTCTGTTGGCTCCTGTGCCCTGTGGCTCTGGCCTGGTGAAAAATTTCCCCACTTTGTGGAGGGTACTAGGAGACACTTCCGGCTCCATCTTGGATATTCTTCTTGTCCCAGGCCTAGAGTCAACACTTTCTTCAAGGAACCTTGGCACTGGAGAAAAACTAGGAACCAAAATCCAAACAACAGACATATTTGTTTTTAAATGCCAAACAGTAGACTTAAACCCAAAGAACTTAAAACGATATATAAATAATTTGACAGCATTAAATCTGGAGAAACAGAAAAGTTCCATTTCTAAAATTCAATGGGAAACCGTGGGCATGTTTTATAATCTAGAAAGAAATATGCTTTCATGTGGTAGTCATTCTTTGAAAAGTTGTTTTTTAAACTTCCATGTAGTTTTGAGGTTTCTGTGTTTTTCAGCAAGAGAACCGTTTTCTATTTCCAAAGCCAGCAGATGTATTCTCAGTACCCTGTATCTTACGTCCTATCTAAAGGATACTTACATGAGAGAGCCTGGGTCCAGAAACTCAGTATCAATAACCCATGCCTAGAGGAGTAGATTAAGGGACTGTTTCTGGTAACTGAGACCCCTCCCCAGACACACTCTCTCTGTTTTCCCTTTGGTGTCGTGGGAAGTAGACGTGTGGCAGGGGCAGGAAGCACTTAATTACCAGTGGTCATCCAACAAAAAGGAATCTAGCTCTGCTTGGAACTAATCCCATCAGTTCAGAATATGGCAGACCACTTCAGGATGACAAACATCTGTTCTACTCAAACGTACACACTAGGGCTTCTGAAGTGTATGTCGGATATCTCAACAAACTCTGGCCCAAGCCAGAAGCACTGATGTCCATCTGTAGACCCAGCTACCAGCTCTTTGGAGACTGAAGTCACTAGCTTGAAAGTTCACAGTCAATCTGAGCGACATAGCAAGATCGTGTGTCAAAAAAAAAAAAAAAAAAAAACAAAAAAAAAAAACAAAAAACCGTCTGTGGTTTAATAATAAAAGGAGGCAGCTGGAGCTCCAAGAGAAGAAAACATTCTCATCCGAACCCGACTCATCCTGTGAGGAAATCACTGACATCCCTGGCATACCTGTGAGGAGGCTAACGACACTTGCCTCCGTTTTCAACCGCGCACCTGCAGCGTTAAAGCAGACGAACACAAGTTCTGAGTCTATTTACATGTGTACATTAGTCATGAGAGGCTGAAGTCTCAGGTACACTGAAGCCCAAACTTCATGTGTTCAGTCACTATCTGGAATGTTAAAATGCATTCCAAGGAGGAAAAAAAAAAACCAAAACAGAACAGACTAAAGATAAGGGGTGTTTCTTAAATCCTGGTATGGTCCACGGGTATCAGGTGGCTTGGGCTTGGGCTTGGGTCTTGATTTTGCTCTTCTCTAGTTCTGTGGACAGGTAAGTCACACTGTGCTTTCAACCTCCATCCATCTACCACACACTGGGGGGGTGGGGGGTGGGTCAAGTTGGTTGGCTATCACTACTCTGGCTCCTTAACCTTCTTCACTACTGGCTAAGACTCAGAGGGGTGTTCTTAAAGCGATCCAAACTACTGGGCTTGGTAGCACAGGCCTGGAACCCCAGTGACAAGGGGTTGGAGACAGAAGAACTGCAATTTTCAAGGTCTCACTGGGCTATGGACTAAGTTCAAGGCCAGGTTGAGCATTTTGTTAAGACCCTCTCTCAAAATAAAAACTAGAAAAGGGCTGGGGATTAGATCTCGGAGTACTAATTGGAGCATCGATGCAAGGCCCATAGTTCCTCAGCACTGCCTAATAAATATCCAAGCCAACAGTGTCCAACAGAACACAACCAGAGTTTGGATGACTGTGTGGCATTTTTTTTAAATTAACCATCTATTTATTTTATATCCCATCAGCAGCCTCTCCGCCCCCATCCCACTCTCCTTTCCCACTCCCCCCACCTCCTGCCCCCAATCCCCTCCTCTTCCATTTCCATCCAGGAAAGGGCAGATCTCCCATGAGTATCAATAAAACATGGCACATCAAGTTGCAGTACAGTAAAACTAAGCACCTCCCCAAGTATTAAGACTGGGCATGGCCTTTTTTAATTGTGTCTAGTAGCTACAAGCTACAAAGCAAGCCCTGAGTCCTGAGATAGGAAGGAGGAGGGGCCCGTGAGGGAAGTTAGCTATCAGTCAGAGGCTATGCTAGGTCTACCTGGGGTGCTGCAGCAGACTCAGTGTGGGAGCCCCAGCCTTTGTTTCCCAACCCTTATCTAGATGAGCACACTCATGGAGGAGTCATGTTGCAAGGTTTGTTTACAATAGGTGGTTATATTGGGAGGTATGCTGCCCTCCCAAAGGAAGAGAACTGGAGGCGGGGACGGGAGCAGAGGCATTGGCGTGGCTGCTGTGGGCACCTCTGGGCAGAGCGGCAGGATCTGTGATTTTGAACTGGGGCTTATTGAACAGGTGACACACGTTCTACTCAGAGCGCCAGGGTGGAAACCAAGATGTAAACTGCCGTTCCTTGTTCCCTTCCCCTCAAAGCGCCAGCGTTTTCCCTTTCAAAAGATGGATAGACACAGAAGAGCAACCAACCCGGCCTTCTCACTGAAAGAATGAATTATAGGTAACAGCTGTTTTCATTAAAAAATATATATATATATATATATATATATATATATATATATTACATGTCAAAGGATTTAAAAACCAGAGGAAGCAACAACAACAACAACAAAGGCAAATGTTTAAGTGTCTGAGCACACTTCCTGCCAGAAGGACTTCCTGTTCTGGGAACCACAGATGCGGAGAAACATCCGCTCTGCAGCCACAGCCTGTGTTGCACAGACCACTTCTCTGTTCCACTTACCCTTCTTCCCCGACGAAGGTGACATACAGTTTATTCCTCTGCAGGTCTTTTCTGGAGTAGCCCATAATCTGATTGAAAGCGTCTTCCAGCAGGTGGTCCCTTCGGATAATTAACCTGTCCCCAGAGAGACGATGTGGAAAGTGCATTAAGAGATGATTTCCGCTTCCTTATCTCTCTTGACATTGAATGTCTATGTACCACAATTAACTAGGTGAGGAGTGAGGCTGCTTAACGTCATTGCTGTCTGAACTTGAACACGCGCCTGTCTCTAACACTTTAACAGCAAGAGCAAAAGTTACCCAAGAGAATCACGGGTAAATCCCGGGCCTGTGAAAAACCCACGAGTCCTTTCTGAGTGGCCAAGACATTTATCCCAGAAAGAAAGAGGTCATACCACACACACACACACACACACACACACACAGAGAGAGAGAGAGAGAGAGACAGAGAGAGAGAACTAAAGAAAGAACAACACTATAAAGTGATCCTTTAAGGCTGGAATGCACCTAAGCATGGAATTCAATTATTGAATGTTCAGTGAGACAAAGGAGGGTGTGTGTGTGTGTGTGTGTGTGTGTGTGTGTGTGTGTGTGTGTGTGTCCTACAAAGCAGGAGAGTTTACAATTGTACTTAATTTAAATTTTAAATTAAGTGAATCTTGAGATTCCCCGAGGGGGTGGATAAAAATGAACGATGCTTGTGACAATCTGTTGTGATGACGGCAAAGTCATCTTCCACAGGTGTCAACTCACTCTGTGTCAACAGTGATGACAGGGGAATGACAGGGAGCCTGAACTTGGGAAGACCTTGGTAATTCCAGTATGAGAAAAGCACAGTTCGGAGAGATACGGACTTGGGGTTGGGCGGATGTGTTTGGAGGTCCAGGAAAGTGGAACTGACTGTGCCTGGGGCAGTAAGCATGGAGGCTGGTCCTCCCTTGGGCACTCAGGGCACAGGGTGACTTGTTTGTTTGTTTTTGTTTTTGTTTTTGTTTTTGTTTTTAGACAGGGTTTCTCTGTGTAGTTTTGGTGCCTGTCCTGGAACTCGCTCTGTAGCCCAGGCTGGCCTTGAACTCACAGAGATCGGCCTGCCTCTGCCTCCCAAGTGCTGGGATTAAAGGCGTGTGCCACCGCTGCCCGGCTGTGTCTGTGGTTTTACACAATCCTAGCTTGATTTAAAAACCATAAGCTTACTAATGCTTAATTCCTGAACATTTTACATTATTACAGTATAATTTATAAACTCCGAAATAACAATGCCCATTAAAATAAAGACTGCTTCCTACCCATTCACCATCTATAAACGTGGTTTGTGTCATTTCTACTTACTTTAATTTCCCTGGGCCTTGTCCATATCCTTTCGTTTCTAACTTCCTGTAAAAGTTCCTTAGTTTGGCTTCGAAATCTCTCTTGTAAGGGGCTGGCGCCCGGGCATTGGCACGCTGAGTACCTGCAACAACCACAAAAGAACAATCTGGATCCGTGCCCTGTGCCAGCACCGTCACAACACCATGAAAGACCACCACAAGTTAGCAAAGGAAACTGAGGCACTGCTTTCAGCTTCTGCATCACACACACACACACACACACACACACACACACACACACACACCCAAAGATGAAGGCCTGAACATAGCTTAAGGAAGGTCTTATGAGAGACTATTTGTCACTTTTCAACTGAGAATGAAGATCCTGTTTAAACTGCCAAATATGCTCACGTGTTTCTCAGATATGTTCCCCTTTCCATCCAAACCAGAGTGAGTCAAAGAGTTATTCATGTCTAAGGACAACTATTCAGGACGGAGTATCTCTGTTTGCTGTTGAAACAGTATCATGGAAACTGTAAAGGAAGTCACAGGAAGCCCCATGAAGATGTTCTTAGATGTGCATGACATTTAAGGATGATTTTAGAGATACAATTACATTTATCTTACATTGCAAAATAAAATGATTATTCTAAAAACAGAATTCAAGCATAGCTGTGAGAAGAATTTATATCTTGGAGTTGCACAAAGACTAAGCAGTATTATTATCTACTGCATTCTCATAGAGGCTCTGCTGACTCCCCACAGGAGGCCTTACCTTTTAGTAGGAGGGAATAGGGGATGGGGTGGGGAGGGGAGGTTGGAGGGATGGGAGGAGGGAAGAGGAGGAGGACCTGTGATTGGTATGTAAAATGAATAAAAAAGTTTTCTTAATAAAAAAAATATTTACGGCATTCTCAATGTGTCAAGTACCATCAATAGCTATAGATTAAAGGTATGCCATTTATTACTAATAAAGTGTTATTTATAAGGTATAAATATGACATGGCTTCTTCCTCTTTCCACAGAAAAATCCATGTGTCACAAGTGATTAGGTAGCACGCTGGGATGTCAGGCTGGACACAGGACAAAGGCAGAAACTAAATTATAGTCTTGTCCTTACACAGCATGCGAGTTCCATGAGATTGCTTTTCCCTCTTTTTTTCTGGGTGTGTGTGCCTGTCATACATGTGGGTTTGTTGTTATTTGTTTTGTTGAGACAGGAGCTTGCTAGTTACCCTAGATTGGCCTTGGATTTTCCGGCCTCCTGCCATGGCCTCACAGTGCATCAATTACAGGCTTGAGTCATTGTGCCTAGCAAAAATTTCCTTAACAAATGAGGAATTATAGGATGGTTATTTACTGCTAATCTGGTGTTATAGTCAACAATGGATGCCCTGGTTGAGAAGGCAGAAATAAAATATATCAAATAATCAAGTCTTAAACTGGAATGGATACAAACTGTAGAACAGAAGAGACAAAAACTATAGCCCTGGAGCTATACCCAGCCTCACAGTCTACTGTTTGCCCCCTACATTTAAAAAAAAAAAAAGGCTAGATTAGTTGCATTTAAAATTTATAATTAGATTTCAAGTAAAAGAAAAACATGTTTTTCTCTTGAAAGTTAGAAGAAATCTTACAAATGGCGTTAACTTCCTAGAGGAGACAGGTGGATGCTTCCGTGGCCTCCACTCCCTCCCACACACCCACTCGGTGACACAGGCTAGCTGCCTGACCTCCTGGGTATTCGCCTTTGAGATCAGTGGTAGAGAAGATAATAGTGTCACAGAAAAGTAATGTGTGTGCGGAGATCAGAATGGACAAGACCTCAGGGAGCAGCTTAGCTGGAACCTAAGTGGTTAATTGCCAAGTCCATGGGATGCAGAATCACCATGGAAACAAGCCTCTGGGCATGTCTGGGATGGAATTTCTAGTTCTGGTTAATTGAGGTAGGAGGACCCACCCTAAATGTTAGTGGCACCATTCCAGGGTCTGGGGGTCTGGGAGTGAATGAAAAGAAGAGGCTTGGTACCTGAAATCCATCTCTCTGCTCTTTGACTGAGGATGCAATATAAACAGCCACCTGCCCCTGCTACCATGTCTTCCCTGACATGATGGACTGGATCCCCTTGAACTTTAAGCTCAAACAAACCTTCCCTCTCTTAAGTTCCTTTCTGTCCGGTATTTGGTCACAACAATGAGAAGATTAAGTAACACTAAACGTGTAAATAGAAAAGAGTCTGAATTTTATACTGGTTCAGAGAAGCAAGAACTAGACTAAATATTGAATGTGTGTTCAAAAGATGCTGAAGATGCTCCATAACCGAGAGCATGGTGGGCATGCTGAAGAGACAGGGGCTGGAGCCAATCAGAAGAGAGGTTTAAAAATTCTGATGCTGGTGTTGGGAATAGGGGCGGGACAGGGGGTGGTGCACCTTTACAGAATATTGAGGAAAGGAAAGGGAATAATGCTAAAGTGGTATTTGATTAGAGAAATTCTCAGCGGAGGGTGTAGGGCAGATGAAGGGTGGGAAAGAGGAAGAAGGGCGGAAGGGTGGAGAAGCAGTTAGGCATTTATCCTGCAGTTGAGGCCTGAGGGGATAAGAACTTAGTCAGGAGTATGGTGACTCAGAGGAACCCCGAGCATGCGAAATACAAATTAGTAGAAGAGCAAGGGGGAGGAATGGGAAGCTCTGATGATAGCAGCGTTTCTTAATAATAATGATAGCTATTGTTTGATAAGCACCTGCTATACATTAGGGATAATGCACTTTCCATAAGGGGAGTCTTGAGAAATCCTCACACAGAGTCAGCCTATGAAGTGTCTATTAAAGGTTTTCATCATCACTTTGCTACTGAAGGAAATGAGGAAGCAGCTTCCTGTCCAAATCCTATGCCAGGGACAGGAATTTGGGATTTGACAAGGTCTACTGGAGACTAAAAGCAGTGTGGGGAATGATGTTGGTAGCCAGGGACACAGGAAGCTGTGTAAATATTGAGTTGGATGTGACAGTCATGGATACTCTACGAACCCTGGACAGGAGAGCTCCGGAGTTTGCATGAGAGATCAGTTAATTGCTGTGGATGAAATGTTAGTGTGTATATGACACTGTGCAGTGTCTACGTCGTAAGACGCTCTCTGTGTGTTGGCTGTTAATGTTATGTGCATACATACTCAACACACAGGCAAACACGTTGGAGCTTCAGGGATGGATATTCACAAGACTGGCTCCCAACCAGTAATCTGGAGGCTTGTCGAAGAGCTAAGAGTTAAGTCATGAAGAAAACAAATGCATTCATCCTCACAAAATCCAGGAAACAAAAGAGAATCCCAAGCAGGGGTTCTCAATCTTGAGTGCATATTCGAATCTCTTAGGAAACTTTAAAAAAATTCCAAAGTTCAGGCCACACCCCAAACCATGACATCAGAATCTGTGGGGGTAGGTACCAGGTCTCAGTGTTTTCTACAGCTCTCCAGATGACTCCCAAATACAGCCAAGCTGAAGAATCACTTACAGGAAGAGAGCTCAACTGCGACCAGTGAGACACGGGGCAGCAGCGTCCAGGAGCTAACACAGGCAGGACACTGGCTGCCTGTGCGCTTGAAGAGGTCATTGTACCATAAAGACACATGAAGCACAGGGCTGCTGCTGGATGGACAAAGGCCAAGACAGTGCACTCGGCCACTCAGGAGACCCAAGAAAGCTGGGGGAAGCTCTACGCTAGTGACCCAAGCAGCCCAGAAAGTAGCCACGATGAATCGGCATCAATGGGAGTTGTGGATGGAAAACAGAAAGATTAAAGACTGAACTCTTTAAAGACTCAAAAGGCAACGTCATTCTTTTCGCCGATTACTTTAAGAAGCAGCTTATACACTAAGACTGTACAACTTGAGGTATCTGAAAGGCTGTAGGAAATCTCATGATGCTTTCGGTCACTCTCAATACAGATAAATTAGAAGTTAGTCCTGCCTCCATTTACACTCTAGGTAAGGGACTTAACGATGGAGAGTCTGCTAACGGAAATGATTCAAGGCAAACATTCTTTTGCTCACAGTTCTGTTATAAAAAATAATCTCATATACTTCACCTAAAATTACAGTAAATAGTGCTGTTAGCCTTTGTCAAATTCTGTATTTGTTTTTAAGTCTCACACAGCCCAGGCTGGCTTCAAACTCACTCTGTAACCAGGCATAGCCTGAATTCCTGATTTTCCTACCTCCAACCTTTCAAGTGCTGGGATTATAGGCATGCGCCACCCACCACACATGGCTCAGGACCTGTATTTAAGGAACTTATTAAGAGAGATTGGGAACACACACGTGAAGTGGGTGGGAATTTTCTAGAGAGGTCTGAAGGAAGGTTTGAAAGGTTAATAGTAGAGTATGGATTTTCTCGTGAGCCAGGGGACGAGACAGGCAGTTTGGGAAAGACCTATGTGAGGAACCCAGCAGGAAGACTGCAGGGCAGGGTCGGACGTGGGACCCAGGTAAGGATGGGATCCTGAGTGGGCTTGCAACTGAGTCTAATTGGTAGGACTTCATTCTTCAGTCCAGGAAGCCATTGATGGATTTTTAACAAAATCAATCTTGAAAGAGCTATATAATTGCAGAGGTTAATCGGCTTTAATATGTACACCAGACTCAAGGAGCTAAGTTATCCTATGTCAAAAACAGACTAGAGCTTCATGGGAATTGCTTCAGTGGTGACTGTCAAGCTGTGTTCCTCATTTTAAAGTACGGATAGAATTCTGACCATCTATAGTTTTGAACAAGTATTATCCTTATTAATTCTGAGGGGTTTATTTTGTTTTGGGAAAGGATAGTGTTATTAGAGTAAATTTAAAAAACAATATAGAAATTTTTACCGCTATGTTGTTTAACATAACTTACAAAACTGTTTATGGTTAAAATAGTAGCATTTTAAGAAGTATGGGGGCGGGGTCTTGTTATATAGCCCAGGCTGGCCTGGAACTTGAAAAACCAGAAATCTTCCTGCCTCCGCCTTCCTGAGTCTGGGATTATAGGTATGAGCGGCCATACCCCAAACCAGCTGTCACATAATTAATACAAGCCAGGTTCAACTGCCAAGAGCTTCCAGGGGAAGAATGAGGTTATCTTGGTTCCAGACACCAAAACAATGTTCTT